TAAATTATTTATTTTAGTTATTAACCGCCAAATAACAAAATATACTACTTTTCAAATAAAATAGTACAACTTCACGAAGCTGTAACTCCTAACATATGTGTGCTAGAAAAAAATTTAACAAAAAATGTAGGAAATTTTGTCCTCTTTAACTTTGTATAGAACCAACATCTTTTGTCGTGAAAGCCACCGTTTGCGCTTTTATATAAGCATATTTTACTTGCAAGCGGTCGCCATTTTTTAAATCATAATTTAAGGGTGTATTCCACTTAAATTTTAATTCTATTTGACGTATGATGGGTTGCATAATATTTACTTGTAATGAAATGGTAACGAATAAACAAAGATTCAAGAATTTACCTGCCCAACCATTGTATAAAGTAAACAAGTAATTACGCTAATTTACCCAGGTCATTAGTCATTGTGACGAATATGCATATATAATTAAACATCGATTAGAAAACGCAAATCATTGTCACAACGGCTAATCCTCAATAAATTCACTTTTCCCAGTTTTTAATAAGACGTATATTTTTTTTAACCCAGTAATTACTCCATGAACTGTATTGGCCCTATCTGGAAAATAACGCATGTAAGCGAATAAGTACCTATGGCTATAAATTAGATATCTTTAAAAAAAATGTACATTTTTTACTAATATTCTAGATGTGTTACAAAAAATCGTCTAATTCGGGAACAACACAAAATAAATGAGAACTAACGCTTTTTACGCAAATTATATCTCTTTCCGAAGGATGCTACAGGGAAATAATCTCAAATTTGAATCACACTAAAATTTTAGGGGTGTTACAAAATTTCGTCTAATTCGGGAACAACACAAAATAAATGAGAACTAACTCTTTTTACGCAAATTATATCTCTTTCCGAAGGATGCTACATGGGAATAATCTCAAATTTGTATCACCCGAAATTTTAGGGGTGTTCAAAATTTCGTCTAATTCGGGAACAACATAAAATAAATGAGAACTAACGCTTTTTACGCAAACTATATTTCTTTCCGAAGGATGCTACAGGGAAATAATCTCAAAATTTTATCACACTAAAATGTTAGGAGTGTTACAAAAAACGCCAGAAAAGACGCAAACTTTTAATTCACCCAAAAATAAATCACATTTTCCGTGTGAATTCTATTACCCAGTATATTATGGAATTATAATACGTTCTAATGAATCCGGTTTCTATTTGTAAATTAGTCCCGATAAACGCAACAATGCCGCTAATGAAGTCAGGCCTGCTGTATGATGTGTTGCCTACTGTACATTTATAAATGGTAAATGACTTCACTAAACGCTGCAAGTTTTCGTAAAAAATTTCGAATGAATATTTCGTCTAAAATTTTTTGTAATTTATGTGAAAGGTTGGTCGATGGCTCTATGGTTTGCTGTTTTTTCTGAGTATGCTACAGGGAGATTTTTAAAATAATTTGTGTTGACGCCATTTTACCTATAAAAGTTCACTTTTTATTGGCAGTGCTCTAAAAAATTGTTTGTTCTTAAATATTAAAATTTTGTTCTGTAGCATACTTTTTAAATGTATAATTTACACGAAAAAAATTAGCCCCGTCTTTCATCTCATGTTTTACAGAATTGAGACGAAATATAAATCGCACTATTTTCGCATAAATGTTGTACTACTGGATTACACCCTTAAACTCGCTGAAAATCACAAATATGTTGATCGGGCATGCGTATTTGTCTTAAGTGCGCAATTTGCCTGGAAACCACACACGTCAAATTTAAAAACCGTTTTGTATTCTTTATGTACACTTTGTAACGTGCAAGTTTACGTAGATTTAATTTCTGATTATACCTCGTAGTTTCACTAGTACTCGACGCGACTCTTTTAGACGCGTGCGCCTCAATTTGACTGTCGGCAAAAGTTGTTACTAGGACACTTCGGTTCACGTAGTCTTCTTGAGAGGTAGCGAATAAGAGTTCCTCGTTACCGCGTGGTGAAAATTTGTTTGCTAAGTTTATTCTCGGTCATCCACCGCATTTGCTTTCACCTGGGTAATTTATTGTACCGGATGGTAGCTGTAGAACTACTACAGGCTGTTATTTGTTATTTTGGAATACATTTGCCGATTATCGGGATCTTGAGGAAATTTCGCTTATCTTCTGGCTGCGCCCTTATATATAAAAGGGGTAAGTGTTCAGATAATTACTTTTTGTGGATACTTCGTAGGATTTCATTTTTCTAATGAATGCTCTGCTTTTATGTAGCTGGTTTTGCCTGGAGTTTGGAGTAAAAGATATATTATATATATATATATATATATATATATATATAGTCCTCCATCGTGGGTTTTTATTTCCGATAATTTAATCAAAGAGATTGTTTGTAGCTGTTGACCTGTTGCTAGGGTCAGTAGGGTAACCAATTTGCGCGAGAGATGTTTTAAGGAGTCTCCGAGTCTGTTCTCAAGGTAGTCTAGTACCCGTGTTGGATCCCACGTGAAATTATATCGGGGTTTGGGAGGTCTTGCTCGTGCGATGCCCTTCATGAACCTTTTGAATAAGGAATCTTCTCCTATATTGCCAGGTGATATCAAGGAGAGTGCCGCTCGATGGGAATTGAAAGAACCATATTTGTTGTCACTTTGGCCTAGCAAGTTTTGAAAAAAGGTAATGACTTGCCCTTTGTCTGCTTTAAAGGGGCTGATGTCGTGTTGATCGCAGAATGTCCACCAAAGCTTATACGTAGACCCATATTGTTTAATAGTAGCTTCAGTTAGGGATCGCACTGTTGTAGTGATAGCACACTCTGGGACACCTTTCGCTATCAATGCTTCCCGGATAACTTGCAAGCCACCAAGATAAGGCTGTTTGCGAGGGGATGACGATTCCGGCTGTAAGGGGAGATCATTAGCTGGTTGCTGGGTTCAAAATAAATAGGCTCTGCGACCTAAAAGTTTTGAGAAGCGGATAACCAAGCTTGTGACGGCCAGAAAGGGATACCTTCAGCCTTATCCTTTATTACTTTTTTGCAACACTCGAAGAATAAGAGAGAATGGAGGAAAAGCATAAAACAACATATTTCCCCAAACGACAGTAAAGGCATCGGACTCGATTGCCCCAGGGTCTCTCAGCCAAGAGATGTAATTTTGGCAATTGTGGTTATCTTAGACTTTTTGAGTATAAATAACATTGTGTGGAGACAACGCTAATCAAATTTGGTTCTACAACAATTACATACTATTGTATTATTATCTACCTCGCTTGAAACAATCGTTAATTTTCTTAACTGTTGCCGTTTCGATATCACCCACAGATTAAACATGAACCAAAAAACCATCTCGACACTATGGATGATTTCCAATGTTTTTCACCAGCAGCACGAATACGCCCTAATGTGGGAAGTATATACAGTTTTATGGCATGTTTTCAGTCTGAAAATGAAATTAACAACCACTATGTGTACATTTTTTTACTTTACCTGTACTTATATTCTCCTGCAGAAGGTTGTACACGGATTCATCAGTAGGTGGAAAATAAGGTCTTCTTTTAGTTATAATACTTTCGAGCAAATCTTCAAATATAACCTCTATATCACTTGATGGCGCATCTGGGAATGTTTTTTTAAAGTCTCGTGCTACATTGCAATACTCTGTTTGTTGTTCTATTGCTGTTTAATGGAATTTTATTTGGGCAGTAAAGTACCTACCGTAATGCTCCTGGCAAACAAGCGCTGCACGAGCGGATATCTCTTTCTCACAGGACCTGTTAGAATAATTAAGTAATTTTAAGAAACTTCGATATTTAATTTATGTTGTCCATATGTTTTTTCGTGCTATCTTAATATTTAGTTTCGGTCTCGAAGAAAACCACTGCCTTGTCACCCTAACTTCACAATTTATGTTTCCGAATGCGTGACCAGGTGGACCATAAACACATGGCCACATTACATGGGGTTTTCGAGGATATTAATTTAGGGCAGCTTTTAAGAAGTCGCATTCTGAACCGCGCCGGAATCGGTCGTTTAGCAAATAATGTAAACCAGTAATCTTAAGGCGGATAGAAACAGGGGATAGGCCACACACATGTCTCACTGAAATGAAACCTCAAATGCAGAACTTTTTATCAATTTCCTGGTTCAGGAAATTATTTTGGAAAGGATTAGGATATTTTATTACATTGCATTATAACATAAAATTTGATGTATGCATTTTTTGGGTCAAAATTTGCTTGTATATTTACTGCGAAGGAGATTTTTTGTATTACGATAAGATTAAATTTACAGACGTGTGTTAAGGTTATTAAAAAACTAAATGCATACAATTAATGTCACGTTGGGTTACATTAAGAAAGTATATACAAAGTTATTTCAATTAATTTGGTTTAGTTTTAATCTTCATAAAAAGTTTTTTATAAAATGCGTGTTACACAGAAAAAATATTGTAGAGATAGGCAACTTAAACTACACATTGCCTTGGGCCGTATTGAAGCTGTTCCAGGTATGTAACTCATTTACATATCAAAAGAGACGGTAATTATAATTACTATACCTGTATTATCTACTTCTTTTGTAAACTGTTTTATTATTTCGATGCACAATAATGCTGCTCCCTAATTTTACTTCTTTATTTTAATTTTTCCTATATACAAATAATACAAACAAAATGTAATATTTTTCAGTATTTACAGAAAATCTTGCTTTTACTTTCCGCCACATACGTAAAGAAAGTATTGTAGGTAATCGACCAAACAAAAATTTTGTTAATTTTAATTTTTCTCGACGTTTCATGACCCAAGGACGCCAAAAAGTGTTTTTTAAAAGTGTCGGTCCGTCTGTTGTCGTCGTCATAGTCGTCGTCCGCAAATTTTATGCACTTTGTTCTCAGAAACGGCCCATCCGATTACAGTGAAATTTTCCGATTTTTATTTTGCGTTTTATCGTTTTGATAAAATAAAAATCATCGCAACATTGGAAATTTTATTTATAACCTCTAATACGAACAATTAAAAATAACATTCTTCCACTTTCCTAATAAAAAAAAATGTACATTGTATAGTATAACAGTAATTACATGAAAAATTATTTTGTAAGGTAAACCTTCCTAATTTCTTGTTGGCGAGATCTTCTCGGGTCTACTAATTCAGGTAGTAAACTGTACATATAAAAATCACGTAGCCGTTTTTCCATGTACTGTGACCAAAAAGAATCGTCCCTAAAAATATAACAAATAAACGTCAATAAATAAAAATTTGTAATAATTACCTTAAAATTTCTTCAACATGAAATCCTCCTCTGGTATACAATATAAAAAAGCATACTTCCCGTTGAGTTATATGTAACAAACCCTGCACCTGATAAAAATAATTGTGGTTTCGTTTTAGTGTAATCTGATCATTCTCCAGCAAGCAATAATCAATTTTTTTTTGCAGTATCGCATCAGTTGGTGGCAAAAGACCAGATTTATCCGAACTTTTTATTTCAATAATCGCATTATTGTCTACTAGGCCATCCGGAGAACATGCCAAATAAGAAATACTTGGATCTATTACTAAGCCGCTTTTGTTTACCTTTTTATTATATTTACTTTCGAATAAAGCAATTGCGGTTTCTTCACTTTCTAAACCAAATTGTGTAGCACTGGAACCTTTAAAAGAAGAGTATAATAATGCTGAAACTGTTTTTGCTGTTGAAGTACTATTTTCCAAAATTTGACGCGGTAATTCGTTTCATCCTTTCACTCTTCCAAACAACTGACCCAGATTGCAACAATGATGAACGAAAAATTAATTCTTTGTCTGCTTGATCCAATTCACGTAAAAATTCGTTACACTTTTTTGTGTAAAGCGCTTCGTCCATATCTGCTATAATGTTAGACGCCTCTGGACCATAAGATCTATCTGTTGTAGCAAATTTTTTCCTCTTCACACATTTTCCTAAAACGCACAAAATGTGTTCATAAATCATTAACCAGGGACGTATTGCTACCTTGTCTCCGAATTTCTCTGGCTTTACTTCTCTTTACTAAATACTTTTCTAAATAAGTTCCTGCAGCCGATTCAGATAGTTCTTCTAAAATAATTGCCATAAAACTTCCAGATGAATGATAAGAAATTGCCGCCGCCATACATCTTATTTGGTAAGAATTCTTTAACGAAAAGTTAATTCTTTTTCCTCCTACAAACTTGGCGACTATAGCATTGTAGGTTTCGGCGGCCTTGGTGTCAACGTCATGTAGCAGACTGGCAGCATTGTTTGCCAATCGCATGTTTATAGATTTCACTACATTATACAAACCGCATGATTGTAGATCAGGTACAAGGTTTTCCTAAATAAAAAAAAAGGTTATGTGTGGCACAGATAACTTTAAACATGAAATTCTTACCTCCCCGCCCTTGCAAAAGTAATCGTCACATGCACTGTGGTCCCCAAATATATGTTTTGGGCCATTTAAAATATCCCCTTTCAATGAATTTGTTTTCTCATCAAATGGTTTATTTTCGTTTTTCCTGTGTTCAATAGCTTTAGTCACCGCATTCCGGAAGCGACCCAATGTGTCGCTATTAGTAACCTTCTTTCGTAGTGCTATTGGAAAATTCGAATCTTTTGAAATTTCTGAGATTTTGTTCAAATAATTTCGAAGTAGATGGTTACGGCATTCAATTTTTTGTATTACAAATGTCGGTCCATATGGTGCTGCTTCTGTCAACTTTCTATAAACGCTACTATCACCGTCGCCTATCACTCTCCCATATATCAAATTGTGCGTTTTTACAGACTTTTTAAAACCTTCCACAATAATGTCAGCTTCCATTGATGTAGAAGTTCCATGCCAATTTTGGAAGCAATCATGATCTTTTAAAACTGTTGCTCTTGCGCATACGTAACAGTACTTATTCCGAACTCCAATGTACAAAAGTTTTTTTGTCTTTGCTCCTATAATACATGCCTAAAATACAGAAGTTCTAGAATATATTGTTAATTGCGTTTACAGATACACTTACAACTCCAGATAAAGCATTATAGTTTGTTCGGTATGAGCGCTTGCTCCAAGCTCCATCAACTATAACGGATATAATCGGTATTCCTTTACTATTTACTTCACCGGAAGTTTTCGCCAACAAAGCCTCTTCTTTTCCAGCGTTTACCATAAGTTCCTCATTTTTGGTTTGTATAACCGAAAACAACTGGTTGTGATGTTTGCTGTACGTTGTGTGTGACATATTAGGGACATCCAATGATGCAAGAATTTCAGAAAGTTGCGAATAACCGATACCAGCACTTATACAACCAATTGCAGCCATCAAGTTTACGTTTACATTATTATCTGGATCTTCGGTCCTTATATTTTGAATAATATTACATACTTCACATTTAAAGGAGAAAACGCTATGTAAACCCTCAATTTTTTCAGAAACAAGGTTTAAGTCAAAAAACGAACAGTTAAAACCTGAAACGTAATAAATAAATCGATCAATCGCCTAATCAATTTTTTTAAATGTAGGTACATACCTTCATGCTTCAAAGATTTCAATTGACTGAAAAGGTATGAAATGTTCACAATTCGTCTACCGCTTGTTTTGAACAAACTACTATTGGCTGTGGCTTTTTCGTAGCAAAGTTCCTCAAGGTCCGTATCTTCACTTATGTCCATATCGCTTTGCTCATAAACCAAGGACCTATCTTCTGAATCATCTCCAGAAATCTCGTTATCTGAGCAGTCTCTAACACTTCCTGCGTTTGAAATATCGGAATCAATATAACAGGAGGATTTGGAATTGATAAATTCATCCATCATTTGTTCTCTGCAGTCAGTATGGTTAGACACTACCAATTGCCCTTCAAAATCGAGAATGGTTTCAGTCGAAATTTGGTTTTCATTTGTACCAACGCTTTGGAGTTTCGGAACATTTTGCGAATTTTTTCCGATAGCCTTCCACCTCCTGAGGAGAATAACAGAGTAAATATTTACATCATATAAAAAAATAACTGTTAGACTTACATTAAAGCTATCTTTTTCATGCGTAGCTTTTTGCTTTTCCTTGGTTGAGATAAATAGAGTTTGCTCTTTGCCATTGCTAAAAAATGCCAGTCACGATGTTTTTTATGCTAAAAATGCGTAGATAATGTGTAATGAAATTGAAACTAAAAATATTGTGCTTACCTATATGTATACGCACACTTACGTAATTATGAATTTTAAAAAAACCCAATTTCACTTTACACGAAAGTAAAATCACACATAAAGTGACAAAAATATCAAGGTACATTGTATTTATATAGCAATAATTAGCCTGTAGAATGCTAATAATGCGATTATAATTACACCAATAAATACCCTATTTGCTAACATTGTTACCTATATCATAAGTGAATAAAGTAATTATTACAATTAGGGATGAATGACATTCCGGCAATTTCTTTGACTAATGGTAATTCCTGTGAGTAATGTATTGATAACACAAAAATTTCCTTGGTGCGAATTTTCAACTTTTGTAGTACACATTTGGATTTCATTTTCAACTCCCGAAACTGCTCACACGTATACTACTTTTTTGTTTGTCTATCTAAACGAATACAAAAACGATTTCTTTGTTTTAGTATAAATAATGTAGAATAGGTTTAGAAGACCTACTAGGTACATAATAAACACAATAATGGGTAAACAGATAATTAGCTTCAGGCAAGGATTAGTTTTCATGGTAATGTAGCTTGTTACTTAAATAAAGAAGCTTCATGAGTTGCATATATTTTATTTTGTTAGGCGCAAGCTAAAAATCTTGTGGTCTGTTTCTATCCCCCTTAACGTGATAAATTTAAGTTTATACATATTTTAATTTAATTATTCTTGTTATTCAAATTCAATAAAATTATTATCGTTGGTTACGAAACAACCTGATCCTTCGTTCGAAGTCGGAGATCGATCCAAGATCTCAAACAGGACCAGTGGGCTAATAATTAATAATAAATCTAACTCGAACTAACATATATTACCTACAATAAAATTAATGCTACTATAAAATTTACAATAATTTAAGACACCCTGCCTACACAAGAAAAAGAAGAGAGGCAAATGAGTGTACACTCTACTGTCGTAATGTCAAAACGGAATAGACCACTGAGTCTATAAACGCACTTGAGCCCGTTTACAAAAATGTGGAGCGCCTACCTTTTTGATGCCGATGCCGTCTCCTTTGCGTTGAGCAGATTGAGCTCCTGGTTGTACCTTTTAACGAAACTGTGGCGAAACCACTCACTCAGTTGCGCGCACTGGTACTTTAAGGGCGTTTGGCCACAAGACGGTAACGGCACAATTTGACGCCGCATCCGCTGAGTGCTCGCCCACTTGCGAATCAGTTTAGATTAATATTCCGTGTTGCCAGATTGATTTTAGTCAGTTGGTGCTGTAAGCTTCGAAGTGATGGATCGAAGGAAATTAATTTTACTAGCGATGGTTTTACGTAGGCGCCGAAGAAGGCAAGCTATCCAGACTCTAAGGCAATATTGGGTCCATCCCATTTTGAGGGTCAGATATGTGGAAGGGACGTTTTATACAGGGTGACTTACGGGAAACGGATGTTTTTGAAATGAGCAGTACACAATTAATTTACAAGATACTATTATTTTATTGTTACACAAATAAAGATTATTACATACCATTTCATGAAAAAGTTACTTTTTAAAAATTACATCAGTCATGTGGTGCCCATCTGCTTCAATACAGGTTTCCAGCCTCTGTTGAAAATCATTGGAAACTCGGGTCAACATGTCTTGATCAATCAAATTCACCTCTTCTGTAATTGCGTCTTTTAAGTCCAATAAATTACGGGGTTTGTGAGCATACACACGTTCTTTCAAATACCCCCACAAGAAGTAATCACAGTAGGACAAGTCCGGTGACCTTGGCGGCCACGGTACGTCACCAAAACGTGAAATCAGCTTTCCAGGAAACATGTTTCTCACAACTTCCATTGATGCGCGAGCAGTGTGCGCCGTGGCGCCATCTTGCTGGAAATAAACATTATTCACGTTGAATCCTTGCCTCTGAAGGTATGGCCTCAAAAATGTATTCAACATGTGAACGTAGCGTTGTGATGTCACTGTCACCGTCACGCCATTTTCCTGAAAAAAATACGCCCCAATAACTCCAAACTTGGCTACCGCACACCAAACTGTAACTTTTGGAGAGTGGAGAGGTTTTTCATGAATGTTACAGGGATTTTCAGTAGCCCAGTAACGAAAGTTATGTTTGTTTACCAAACCGTTCAAATGAAAATGGACTTCGTCGCTCATTAACAGTACTGCATTACGATTACCATTAAACAACAGTTGCATACGCTCTGCGAATTCTTTTCTTTGTTGATAATCCGCCACGTTGAGTTGCTGGACCACCTGCATGTTATACGGATGAAATTTCAAATCAAGTCGTAAAATCCTCCTCACAGAATCACGACTCATGTTTAGTTCTCGTGCATGTTGGCGTGCAGATCGACTCGGACTCCTGATTATTGCAGCCCTCACACTGGCGATGTTTTCAGGCGTCCTTTCTGTTCTTGCAGGGCCTGGTAGCTTTTTCTTGGATATTGTCCCCGTTGTTCTGAATGCCTTAACTCACCTTAACAAAGTGTCTCGACTTGGCACTGTGCCGTTCCGACCGATATTGAAGTGGCGACGAAATATTCGTTGTGTGGTTATAACAGACTCGCCATTTCGAACAAACGTATCGTACGCAAAAACACGATGCTCCGTCGTCCACTGCTCCATTGCTACTGAAATGGTAAGCTGCAATGGAGTGAATGACCTACCGTCCGTCGCCCCACCACTTAACGAAGGCATGCACTAGCCATTTCAAAAACATCCGTCTCCCGTAAGTCACCCTGTACATTATTTGAAAAACTTAGAGAAACCCCTGGAAAATTCTTTAATTATTTTCGCATGAGTAAAGAGACGTTTGGTTATTTAGTTGACCGATTAAGAGATTGTATATGTCTTCAAAATACAATAAATGTGTATTTTCAAAACTACATAGTATAATTATCTAATTATATAGTAATTATTGAAATTATTCCAACAAACCATTAATGCCTCGAAGTTGCGTGTATGTTTGTTGAGGAAAACCAACAGGTCCTGATGGGCTATGATTACACATACTGGGGAGAAGAAGAATCATAATTTGATTGCCTGGAATTTGAATGAAGTGATGGCTGTGGCGACGGTAATGGCGGATGATAATACCGTTGATTTCGTTTTTTTTTGGCTTATTTTGTGAACGATGCTAAGGACTTCCATGCGAAATTCTAATTTTTCATCCACGTTCAGTGTTCTTACAGTAGGCAACAACGATTTGAAAAATAACTCATCCTCATCTGGAGGAAGTTCACCTCAGTATCAGCTAATGTCTTTGCTCTTTTCTTTCGCTGTTTAATTCTTGACCTTCCATAACCTTACCATTTCTTAATTCTTCTGAAAGCTCTCCTCCTTCCTTTGCATTTCTTCAGAAACGCCATCATCATCATCATTAACTAGCGAAGTATCCTCTACCCAGCTAGATTCGGTGCTATCTTTTAATACTTAACATGAACAATAAATTATCATGGTATAAGTATTTCTTTTTTGCTGAATCTCCAGTTGTCTTTTTCAAAGATTTATTAAACGCAGCCCTTATGTTCTTCCATTTCTCCATAATCATAAGTTCTGAAACAAAGTGACAAAGGACTCCAGGATTTACGCCAAATTGCACCACCTCGGGGAGGAAGACGTGCCAACGATTTAAGAGACCTCACTTCAGATTATTTTGTTAGCGCTGACGGTGCATTACCGTGGCAGATGTCGAAAATATAAAATGTAACGAAATCCTATGTGCAGAGTTATTTTTCGTACTATCGTTCCAATTAAATATAAGTAGTAAAAAAATTTAATAAAAGTTATATATATATATATATATATATATATATATATATA